AACCATTGGTTTTATGTACCGCATAATCAAGTACCGCAAGATTTTGGCTTATGGTGGCGGCATACAGTCCTATTTTTTTAACCCCCGGGCAATGCTTTACGCATACCCGTCTTGGGAGTGTGGCCAGGTTATGTGGGACCCCTCCCCTCCTCCTCTCGCCCACCCGCTCAGCCAATACGAGGACTGGCTCAACGGCTGCTCGAGAGAAAGGGAGCCCTACCCACTAAAAACCTGACGATGCACCTCACCTCACCGATAGGACCTCGCCGGGTGCAAGGTCCGCCATCAGGCGGCACCCCGCCCGGCGCGGCAAAGGCACTGGGTGAGGCCACGGGAACCCGTAAGGATACTTCCGCAACCTCACCACCGAGTGTCCGAGTCGAACGGACCCACCCAACTTGGGGATGCCCCGAGGCATTAGAGGCATGTAACGCCGCAGCTGTTCTCACTCCCCAAGTAAGATTTTCCAAACGGAACCTCCATGCATTCATCAATACTTCCTCAGCCTGCCGCCGGATCTGTACCATCTCCTCTGTAGCAATGCGCTCGTAACCGGTTACATTTGGCTTCGCTTAATGAAGCCGTCCACACTTCCGTCCTTATTACATTAAGGCCCACTTGCAGCAAGTTTGCTAAATCTCGCTTCAACCAAAACTACATTCAACCAATAGAAAAAAGTCAAATCGTCAATATGCATTTTTCATTTTTCTATGTGTTAAATCCAGTTTACTTAAATCGAGATTTAGCAAATTTACTGCAAGTGGAGCTTAATAAAAAAACGGACATGTGCTGTTCACATGCGATACAAGTGGAACCTACAAAAATGTGAGTCCTTCAGCCACCAGCGGCTTTATTTGTTACCCTCTTTTTTATTTTATTTCTTTTGTAATGTTTTTCTTATCTTAGATGTTTTACGAAATACTGTAAAAAAATTGGAAAGGTAAGGATTGTTGATAAAAACCAAGTCTGTATTTATAAACAACGTAGGCCTATCAAACGTTAAATACTTAACTATTCAGGCATTGTAAAATACTGGGCAAAATTAAATAATCTATACTTAAATTTTTCGAAAAATAAATAGCTTAATAAAAGAAAAAAAAACATAACAGAGCTTAGGATTGAACTACCACACTTGTAGTTTTGTCCTACAAAGGGGGGCGGCGGAGGGTTGCTTGGACGGGTACGCCCAAGTAGCCCTCCGCAGCGGACGGGGGGCGGTACAGTGGGCACTAGGCCACGTACTCAGCCCCCAAGCGCGGGCCTACCTACGCACGTCTGCGGGGTCCCCGCAATACCACGGGAGACCCCTTCTTTTTTTTTTTTAAAACGCAGGTAAAAAATCTTTTTCAGACGACGGCGCCTTTAAGAGGCACACCGCCGAACGGACCTCACACCTGGCTCCCGCAAGTCTTACGGACCCCCCAGAGGCTACCCACCAAGGACCCCGCAACTCTTACGGGCGCTTTACAGCATAATATCCGCTAAAAAAGTCCTGCGAATACCACTACACTGCTTAGTGCGGAGCCGCAGGGTGCCCGTTAGGGATTCTACCACGGCTCCGCCCCCAGCAGCTTCCCGGCCTGGCCGGGGCTCCACGGCAGGGGTCTCCCGCGGTATTACGGGGACCCCGCAGACGTGCGCAGGTAGGCCCGCGCGTGGGGGCTGGGTACGCGGCCTACTGCCCACCGTACCGCCCCCCATCCGCTGCGGAAGGGACTCCTGAGCGTACCCGTCCAAGAACCCTCCGCCGCCCCCCCTTTGTAGGTCAGAACTACGAGTGAGGGGGCCGCCGTTCCTGGGAGGGGGGAAGCGGGAGGGGAAGTGTAATTCTTCCCGTCCCTCTCCCCCCTCCCGGTCGCCCACGTCTCCCCGAACTCGGGAGACCCCTGCCTTGGAGCCCCGGCGAGGCCGGGAAGTTGCTGGATACGGAGAAATTCCTCATCAGGAGATCCCGCGGCTCCGCATCAAGCAGTGTTGAAGGTATTCACAGGACTTTTTTAGCGGATTATGCCGTAAAGCGCCCGTAAGGGTTGCGGGGTCCTCGATGGGCAGCCACTAGGGGGTCCGTAAGACTTGCGGGAGCCAGGTGCGAGGTCCGTTCGGCGGTGTGCCTCTTAAAGGCGCCACGCGCCGTTGTCTGAACAGTATTTTTTACCTGCGTAATAAAAAAAAGGATCGAACTAATGCTCATTTGGTGTCGGTCGACCGCAAGACCGTTACGGCGTTCGGCTATTTGTCTCTTGCTCTCTTGAGAGTTACAAAATTACGGATACTGTCAAAATACTGTTGCTTATTCGTTTCGTCGAGTTTCAAATCACAACAGTGCTAAAGAAGTTTTCACTTCAAAAACAGTAGTAACTAATTTTAAACTTTGATTTCTTAACTTACCTTCGATAGCTTCAGGCATCATAGGCAAGACGCCATAATAATAATTATCGGTGAATGTTCTTCGCCGCGAAATCTATAAATATACCTAATATTTTTGTAACTAAAGCTAATGGTTAAAAAAAGTTTCAAGAACATGCCATTTACATTTTGAATTAGTTAAATTTAACATGTTTTTCAAAGGGACACGTTGACAGATACCGGCTTATTTTACCTACCTACTCGCGTTAACATCAACGTCACACGTGCCAGTCAAAAATTATTCTAATTACGAACTCGAGTAGGTGAAGTAATTAGCGGGAAACATTGAACTTGGTACGTGAACTTCTGCCAACAGTCGCTGAGTAACATCAGGTGGAACTCATCTGGAAAAATACAATTCGCAAAAATGTTGCGCTTGCGATTCTATACTCTAGGTCCTTGCATTTAAAGGTAGGACTCGGAAGTTCCTTCTAAACATTCACGCAAAAGGCTTATTGTCGGCAAATCGGCGTGGAATGCGTAGAAAATTCTGGCAGAAGACCAAAAGCAACACTTCTACCCTTGGAATCAGGTGGACGAACAATAGTATTAGTGCAATGGCGAATATTTTTCACCGTCTTTGTTGTAAAAGTTTCCTGACGGCCGTCAATCTTCGTTACTCGATGGGTTCTTGTCAAAATACTAATGTTTTAGAAAAATGCCAGTTTCTTTGATAAAATATGATGCGTTCCTCGGGTCTAGTTACCGCGAACGTTATGGCGCGAGTACACTTAGTCGATAGCCCGAATATGAGTGCCAATAGAATTCGGGTTTACCCGAGTGTAAATGAATGGAGTCGAGTACGCTCGTATTCGGGTAGATTTCCTTTTGTTTAGCCGATATAGTCTTCCGTCCCTTATTCCAGTGTAAATATTGCCCGAATTCGAGTAATGTCTTTCGTGCAATCGAAAACAGGCTAACAACCAAATGTAATTGCGACATTAGGGTTGCAACTTTCGTTTGAGTATTTTGTTATTGTACATATAATACTGTAGATATACATAATGTTGTAGAGTTATTTTAAGTACTAAACTGCTACATTTTTCAATCTAAAAAAACCAGAACGCAAACAAATAGTTTCCTGCCTTATTAACGACACGAACAATCCTGAATTTCAAAGGGCACTTGCCAAGTAAATTCCCAGTACACAGCACAACATTAGTTCTACAAACAGTTCTTCAATTGGGCGGCGAACAAAGTGGACCTAATAAATGTCAACCGCGTCGCCGCAGCGTTTAATTCATCAGATGATCTAATTATGAATGAGCTCGTTCCTGTCCTGTCGAGAGAACCGAGTGATCACTATTATTGGCGAGGATTACATCACACCGGGAAGCGCCCGCGCATTGTGAAATTATACTCAATGTGCTCTAATGTATGTACAGTACAGGGCTACCGCACGAAGCTTAGTGATTTTTTTAATAGTAAAAATTCTCATTAAATAAAACTATAACGGCAACTGTTTCAAAGGGTTTAAATGCGTTTTTAATACATAATATCTCATTTTATCGTATTAAAACCCAATATAAACCTGTTGAAAAATAGTTTTATTTAATGAGTGATGTGCGTGAAAACGTTAGAAATAAATAATTATCTCTGCTTAACTTAGCTATGTACTACCAGAAGTTCTCCTCAGATAAACCATGAATTCAGAATATTTAGATCCAAATCAATCAAAACTGAAATTCTTATGACCAAGTCGGATGAAAAAAAAATGTGTAACCGCAGAAATGTTATTGCTTTTTGGAAAATGTTTGGATTATTCTGCCAAAAGATTTAAAATATAAATTGGCATTAGATTTATTGATTTACTAGAAACACTTTATTTTATCATGCAAACGATGTGACTTATAATTATAAAAATCACTTAATAATGGTGATATTCAGTATTTCTTAGTATTGTCGTTTATTTTATGGTTGATAAACAAACTAAATCGCACTATTTAATATCGTCCTCAAGGTGAAAAATAAATTAAGAGAAAAGCTTGCTTAGTTTAATCATATAAGAGTTTTACAAAACACTTTTAAAACGGGTATAAGAGCGTTTTTATCCCTTGTTTTCACGTGTACCCTTAGCTGTTCCTTTGATGGTACTGAGGATGTATCCTTTTCCTCTGTGGCTTAAATTAAAGTTGCGGATTAAATTTGAGAATTATCAATGAGCTATGTGGCAGCCCTAGCCAGCCGCCCGCCTCGCCGCCAGCCACCCCCGCTCACATCCGTAGTGCGCGCTCAATGTCACGGGGCCAACAACACTTTCAATGAACATACTCACCGTTTTGTACGAGTAGTTACGATATCGAGTAATTTGTAGTAGTTACTTATAAAAATACTGCTAATCTTGATTTTTCCAAGGATGTAAGACATACTTAAATATCTTTACTGTCAGCTATGATGGGAGACCAAAGATTTAAAACTCTGTGAAAGTTGAAACCGAATAAGGTATAGTAGTTGCACCTATCTGATTAATTAATAAACACCAAACATAATTTTCATGAAATGGCACTCCTTACTCATAGTATGATCACTGTGTGCAATTAGGCATTAGAGTTATCCTTAGAACTTCTATATCTATATGAAATAAAAAAAGATATAAAATTAATACAAATTTATTTTGGTCCCATTTAGAATAAAAGTAATTGTACTTAAATTACATACATACAGTAAAGGAGGCAACATATAAATTAAAATAAATTAATTATCACATTTCTTAAATATAGATATGTCACGTTAAAAGTATCGTCATACTTATTTTTATATTTTTTTAATTGTTTTTTTTTTTGTAGATGTTCAAAACGTACTCTAAATAAAAAAATATGCCAATTTGAGCAGATATCACTGACATTGATCATTATTAACTTAAATTAACATTGTAGCTAGTTCTTACATTGCAACTTTATATTGTTATTTATTTTAACATGCAGTTCAAAATCTACTGATTTATCAGTCGACTTTACACGTCGTAGTAACTTATTACTTAAGTTGTTTAGTGTTATCGCTACAAATTTTCTCACCATTCATAATTTTACTTACACACCTCATAGATTCTTTTTACGGCTTACATTCAACCTTCATCAAAATATTTACAAACATCTAGCGCTCGTCTTTCATACGCAGCCATTAATCTTCTTCACACTGTAATATTTTATAAATAATTTTCTCACTTCTACAAATTAACTACACATCCATCTATCATCCATGCTACACTAGATCAGCTAACTCAGCTTTTCTCAATGGGACCATATCGCTGCCTGAACCAGGTCATACCGCTGTAATCTGGTTCGTATACATCTGGGATTTCTTTGTCTATGGCCTCGCAGTAGACCATCTTGACAGACGCTTCGCTGAACAGCCGTTCTTCGTATTTGATCAACTGTTTGAAAAATCCCGTGTTTGGTCGTATTTGGGGTCTAAAACAATGACAGGAAAAGATATCAGTACTCCTAAAGGACTACTAAAGGACTACTAAAGTACACATTTCGCTTTCATCTTCCTCTTCATTTAGAATTTTAATTTCCTCAGAGATAACAGGTATTAAAAATAAGTTATAACATTTTTCTAAATCATCTAACGGTTAACTATTAAGTTTTATTTTGCATTTGTGATCTTTCGCTATGTTTAATCTCTTGGTCTATTTTCATGTCTTAGAAATCAGTAGATCGATTTGAGAATATTTTTCTTTTCACCAATCATCATGTCAATTATAACAGACTAATTACATTTTGAAGGCGTTTTGAAACTCAAAATACTTACCGTCTCTGTTTCATGTGGTGATAAGCGTCACGCAGCGTCATCTTCTGCCATTTCACCAGATAAGCCAAGCATAGCGTGACTGATCTTGACACCCCCGCTACGCAGTGGACTAATACCACCTCTCCTTTGCTTACCACCTATAAGAAGATAAGCAACATTAGAATCCCATCAAAGCACAGTATTGGGGATGACTAGATAGTGGAAAACCAGAAAGTATCTGGGATGAGTGTGACTGGGATGATAAGTGGAAAGTCAAGAACGTAAACATAACGAAGAGTTTTCGTAGCCCACGGAGACCAGCAGAAGACTGAAGAGTAAATACTATCTAGTTTTTAGTCAGTGGGCAAATCAGACATAGAGCCAGCCCACATTTACGGACCACAGGTAATCTGGATGAGTTCAAGAAAGGGGAGACCCACACACCCAGGTCGCTACGCAGTGGCAAGTTAAGCGCAACGCATTTTGCTGATAATAAAAAAGTAGAAATCCAGGAAATGGGAAGAGATAATCTTAGACTACTGGCTATCCCACATCACTGAATATACATATTCTTAAAAGTTATAGCTATGCTGTGTACTGTGACTATATGCCGCAAATACGATAACTATCAACCAGCGTGCAACATTAAAGATTATGGAATGTGTAACGTCCACTATTTTGTTACACATGTTAGCTTTATCTGATGATCCACATTTCATAGTTATGTATAAGACTAAGTTATTAATTTTGAAATAGCTATACGCTATACAAAAAATCATAACCTAATTGAAATAACTAAAATAAGTAGTTAATTTGTATCCTATCATTAATTACAGTCTACTATGTTTGTTTCTTACTGAATCAACAAAAAAACTTACCTCATTGATCAGGTCAGCAACGAGTTCCATATACGGGTGCATGTCAGAGTTGGGTGTGTCCAATAGGGGCACCAAGTATCTTGGAACGTAGTCTTCTGGGGGCGGGGGTAGTTCAGGTGCTGCGCTAACCACAAGCCCTGGCTGCAGAGCCTTCACCGCGCCTGGGAGCGCATGAGCACCGCACACGTACAACGAGTTCGTAATACGCGATACTCCGAGGGGACAACCTCTGTAAACAATAGGTCTTGTTGAAATTTAAGTCCCACAGGTATACGCCGCCATGTGTGAAGGTTTGCCGTAAGGTATATGTGAAATGGCTTTGGTATTCATTCTTAATTTTTAATTCTGATCTATAATTCAATGTTCGTGTATCTCTTTTCAAAATATTCAATGAATTGATAATATGAATTCTTATAAAATTTTGATTTCTATCAAAAAAGAACAGTTTTCAAACGAAATTGGAATAAAATGTTCATGGAATTCTTTCAAAACAAAATCGTAATGATAATCTAAATCGAGTTGACTCCTAACAGCAGTTGGATGAGACTACAGAAAATATTCGTGACATTTTGAAAGATGTAACGAAATTTTTGCAAGACGCCTGTCACTATATCCAAGGAATGAGAGAGAACACTATTACAGCAATCGCATTCTTGAGTAGGACAACAAGCGGCGGGTGTAAACACGGCGTGCCAGTGGCCTGTGTCATGCTGGCAACGTGCCAACTTGTCTGACCTTCCGAACTTGCTCAGAATCTTATCAAAATCTTAATTACTTTTGGATAATTTTATTTACTACGCTTATCAATCAGAGAAATGAATGCTGTTTTATTGCAAAGAATTTTTCGTGTTTTCTTTTATTTTGTAGATTTTTTTTTCAATAGTTAAATCAATCTTATCAAATTTATTTTATTTATGTGTAGCATATCAATTGCCAATTAGTATCGAGGGAGCCATTCATTCAAAATTAAATAAATATGTTTCTTATGTCAATGAAGTCCCATTCCTAGTTCTCAAATTTTATTTCAGGAAGAGTAAGTACCTAACCGTTTATATTTTGTTATTTTATTCTATCTAAAAATATTTTTTTTATTGTACATAAAGGTACTTTACCTGTTCAGTTCCTCCTTGGTGAGCTTGGGTGATTCAATTGCAACTGTCGGTTCATTCTCATCTCTTACACTTGCCACTTTATCTTCAACCGTTAAAACCTTCATTTTGAAACACTGCGGTCAATATTTTTTCATAAAACCACCTCACAATATTGGCACTTCAAAGTCTTGATTATCCTCCAATCTCAATGTTGTCGTGATAAATATCGATTGTAGTCCAGGATGTACGAGTTTTTACGCATACGTGTGTTCTGCTAGCGTGTCGGACGCGCACTGAAGCTTGGCTGCGCGCACCTGCGCTTGCGACGCGTACCCTGTGACGGGACAGGATTGCAATATCCGGCATTCCACAGTTATTTTCAGACAGTGGTGACTGTTATTTTATTTACAATGCTGGCGTTGCTATTTTAGGGCAGAAATAAAGCTTATTCATCCACACATAATATAGAAAATATACAAAGAACAACGTTTGACTCAGGACGGCTAAACGTCGTGCATAAAACTTTCTGCCTCGGAAAAAATAATTGTAAAGAGCAAAATTTATTTCAGGATGTCTAAGGGGGTGCGGGAGAAAAACGCACCGTGAGTACTTAGCCTTGATGTCGTGCTTAAAATATTAGTAGAAAGAGGACTACTAAAGTTAATGAAAGTGGTTATATTTTTTTAACCTCTTAACAGCTAGATGTTTAAATCTAAAGAAAATTTTTCAGACTTTATAAAATTGACTGAAAAGGATAAAAGAGTGACAGTTGAAACTGTAAAACAAGAAAAAGAAATTTTGCGGTTTAATAAGGAAAACCGAGTAAAAGTTGGAATCATGATCTAATTATCCTCGCATACTTTTAGAATCAATCAAAAGCTGGAAAGTCAGAAAATCTCCATGGATTACAATAATTAGAAAATCTATAAAATTAGAATGAATGCAAGCCTTCACATAAAATTAAATGCCAGTAGATATAATCAATCAAGTGAAAGAAGAAATGTTTAGATAATTAGATTTGACAGAAAATATATAGAAGAAGAAAATTGAAAACGAAGAAGACCTAGGCAAAGTTTTCTCGAACAAATGAAAATATTTGAAACATCAAGTCGAGTAAACCCATTTATTTTAATAAGGTGATATCTGGCATGCTATAAGGTCTTCCCTTTGGTTTTAAATTGTGAAGGTGTTTGTGAGGCAATAGTTTCAAAATCACCATCATATTTTTTTTACTATGTGAATGGCGCCCAACGATTAGCATTGACCCGAATGATTCCAATCTTATTTAGATAAAAACAGTAGCAACGAATTCAGTCCATTTATTTATACCAGCACGAAAGATTAATTAGCTAAATTTTTTGTAACATTTCCGAGGCCAAATTAATTATTCCTTAGTACACGTGTATATGGTATAGTGGCTTCTACTGTACATGAAGTGTCTACCTTTCAGGACCATACGTTAAATTACCATTTTTCAATTTTATCAAAACGTGTATAATTTAAAACTTTGAGATGTGTCTGAAATTGATTTTATTCGGGCTTTTTCTGAACTAATATATCGCAACAGCCGACACAATCCAAGCAAGAGGTAAACGGTTCTATGTCCACCGGTTCCCTCAGATAATAATCCTTCGGTGCGAACTCCCCTCGCTTGAATATCTGATCGTCGATCAGAGACTTGAAGTAGAGGTAATTGCACGCCCTGGACAGCAGCTCGGTAGAAGTGAGAACAGCTTTCACGGCACTTTGGCAAACTGGATCCAGCTCTGATGGCACGTTGAATGACAGATTCTGGATGTTGCAGCGGAAGACCTGAAATTCATAAGGATTGGTGTGCAGAAACATGTCCACCACAAAGGTTTGAATTGAAAAAAGAAGTTATTCTTCTCATTAAACCAAATAATACTACTTATTTCTGTAGTCTTACTAAAGCTCCACCTTTTCTGTAGTTTTTTTTTACAGATATTAGGGGAGCCTTAAGTGGGGATTTTGGGACTTAAATGCGGCAGAATAACACTAAGGGGGCATCCTCTCGTAGCTCCTATTCAAAAGACTGGCTATTGCCTATTACTGGCAATAAAACGTTATGATGATGGCCGTTTTGATAGATTGCGACCAAAAGTCATGGTCAATTGTTGAATACTTCACAAGGTGCAAGGTTACCCCCCTGATGTTATTCTGCCGCGCTCAAGTAAATCCCAAAATCCCCGCTTGGGCTCCGTTCATTCTCAGTAGATACAGGAGCTAGGATAGGAGGATCCATGAAAGAAATGTGAATGAGAACTTATTTTCTTTATAGATTCTGAATTCAAGGTCCTTTTCTCCCAATAGATCCATTGGCTAGATCTAGGAAACAATAAGTATAAATAATAGCTGTAAGTTTTCCTAACAAATAAAATATAATTATGGAACACAAGTGTGTTCTTTGGTACTACGGTACTACTACGGTATTGGTACTAACCTCATGGCCACACATTTTGATCATACAGTAGTTAATGTATTCAACTGGCTTGAGATCGACTCGGTAACCGAGCTTCTGTAATCGATCTGTGTATCATATAAAAGAAAAGCTGGTACAAGTGAAACTTTAAGAAAGAAAAGTCATGGTTTTTACTGTGATCTAGGTTAAGGACAGTTTTTCTCAAAATCAAAAGGCCATCTTGCACTCAATCCAGACTTGAAGAAAAAGAAAGGTTAGAGCCATAGAAATTTATGTTCATTACCCGATTGTTCCCATGTAAGTAGTACATGATAACAATCCCATAAATAACATAAATTACTATTAAGTAATACAGAAATACATATTAAACATCCATGACTGGAGTACAAATGCTCGTATTTCGTCACACAAACATCTGCCCCCACCGGGTTCGAACCCAAGACCTCCAACACTCTCGAGTAGGCGATACCTTGAAACCCGGCGTACAAACCACTCAGCAACGGAGGACTTTAAAAAAAGTACGGAAACTTCTGTGTGCGAGTTCGACTGGAATTGACCGATTTTTTACATAATTCCTTCTCCGTGTCATAATTACTTAATCGTCAAATAAAACCACATAACATTCTCAAAAACATAATGAAGAAGTTTATAAAGTTACGAATAAATAAATACCTTTCAATCCCCTCAATTTTTGTGGTTTGTGAGCAATTGTATGGAATGTGTTACAAGGTCCGTAATGTATAATAACATAATTGACAGACATTACGTAGGTTTATATTTTTTTTAGTTTGAAATGATATTTCTTGTTTTAAATAATACCGTTATAAATAATAAATAATGCAATCTAAAATCAAATGGCATTTGTCATTGTGGCGTGACATTCTAGGAATATTTTGTCCGTCTATGGATTGTTAAGAGATAGCCATGGGCCATAGGGGCATTTGTTACAGAACTGAATTTTATTTCCAAAAATGGGGGGGGGGGGGGTTCTGAAATTCTGTCTGTCTGTAACATTGTTATGAAAATAATAGATGTGTTTAACGCCCATAAGTATGTGTCGGATGCGGTTCGAAATTATAATGCCAGAGGCACTCTAGATACTTACATCCAGTTCAACTGAGAGTTCTCTAGTAGCCAATAGAACAGTCTACTTCATAAAAATATAAGGTGACAAGGTGGTTAAATATTAAGAGTAAGGTTTGGGTCCCGGGACATCTCGTGTCTCGAAGTACCGAGACTTTTTGTAAATTTTGTTGTCTCAGGTCCCGAAACTTTCGGGTCGAGACACGATTGTCGAATTTGATTGTAATCATTTTTTTTTCAAATAATTGAAAGAGTCCAGCGCCAACTGCTTGGTCTACTACGGAAATACTGAGTATACAACACAATAAATGCGTTTGCCTAGCCACCACATCGGTTGTTCTGTGACGTTTGGTTGGATTATGATTATGTCTGTCTGTGTCGGCTAAGTCCATGGAGGATAGAGATAAGGAGAACGATCCCTTAGAAAATAGTGTCCCAGAAATATGGACAAAATATGTGAGGCGCTGCGATCGCTAAGTTGTCTCGATAAAAGCGGGCTAATTTGAAATAACCAATGCCGCGAAGAGTACAATATTCAACTAACTTCATCTACTTGTACTCATAAACAGCTAACTTCACAGATACTACTTACCGACGGCAGCGCAGCTTTTGGCCTAAAAATTAACTATAAATTCTACAAATTTTCAGGGACAGGCGCGCTAATGCTTTAGTACATAGCGATCGTTCTCCTCACTAACCTCCATGGCTAAGAAGAGTAAAAAAGGTGAAGGGGCAAAAGGTGGTGATAGGATGCGTGAAAGAGGAAGGAGCGACAAGACTGGAAGAAAGACTGGAGATGAATGAAAATTTTAAAATAGAAAAGGTAGAAAATAAAAATCCTCTTATAATAGTCAAGTTTGTGAGAGGAGATAAAAAGAAGGAAAGAGTAGAAGAAGCAATCCGGAAGAAAATGGAGAAGGAAGGGAAGGGCCTCGAAAAGGAAGGAAGGCATATTGAAGCCTTATACGAGAAACGCACAAGAAATCCGCACGTGGCACATGTGGTCCTTAGAGTGGCTCCTGCAGTATGGCGGCAGTTGACAGAGGCGGGGTCTCTTCAACTACAGTGGGGATTGTCCCGCGTGAAAGATCAGACCCCGCTTATCCAGTGCTCCCGCTGCTTGGGCTATGGCCATATCAAGCGGGTCTGCCAGGAAGCGCTGGACACCTGCTGCCACTGCGGGGGAGACCACCTATATGCCGCGTGTCCAAATAAGTCCCTTCCCCCAAGCTGCAGGAACTGCAAGAAAGCAGGGAACAAAGAGACGGAGCACAATGCTTTCAATGATATGTGCCCACAACGCACAATGTGGGACAAAATAGCCCGTTCACGAGTTGCGTATTGCTGAAGTGGTCACAGGTGCTCCTATTGGAAAAGAGAGAGAAACGGCAATAAACGGAAAACACACAGCAATGCAGGCAAACCTGCAAAGAAGTAAAAATGCTACATATGAACTGTATGTAGAAGCAGGGAAAAGAAAAGCAATGTTTGCACTCCTCCAAGAGCCATATACGGGCAACGCGGGAGTGGTGGGAGATCACTCTGGTGTCAGAATAGTTCAAGCGGCAAAAGAGGTCGGGAAGGTAAACAAGGCGGCAGTAGCCGTCTTTAACAACAACATTAGAATAAGACAGTTTCCCGACCTCACAACTCACAACATAGTGCCTGCAATATTAATAACACCAGAGTGGCAGATCAGAGTGATATCCTACTACTTCGAGCCGGACGTAGATATAGACCCGTATATTGCAACAATAGAAAAAACTATCAACAAAATAGGAGAAATCAATCTCATAATTGGAGGAGACGCGAATGCTTGGAATGAATGGTGGGGGAGCAAAAAAAGCGACGAAAGAGGCGAAAAAGTAATGGGAATGTGGAACGACTTGGGGCTGCATATATTAAATATAGGAAATAAGCCAACTTTCCACACCTGGCGGGGTGATAGAGAATATAAAAGCATAGTAGACGTAACGTGTTGCTCGACGGATATGTTGGACAGGGTGCAGGAATGGAAGGTGAATGAAGAAATAACTACCTCCGACCACAACACAATCATTTTTAATCTAGAATTAGGAAAAATTTGTGACAATATTAAGAATAGCAAATCAACAAGAATTTACAACACCAAGAAAATGAACTGGGTAGGGTTTAGAGAGGATATGCAAAAATTATGTAAAGAAAAGAGTATCAACGTAACAGAAATAGAAGAAATAAATAGCATACAAAAACTAGAAGAGTGTATAGAAAAGTATAACCAAATAATAGAGGGATGCTGTAAAAACAATTCCAAACCGAAAAAGGTGAATAATAAAATAAAGATTGTGTGGTGGACGGAGGAGCTAGAGAAGCTGAAAAAAGAAAAGAATAAGTGTAGGAAAAGAATAAAGTGGGCTGCACCCAATCGGAAAGCATGTGTTGTCGAGCAATACAAAGAAGCCAAAGAAAGATATGAAAGGGAAATGGATACGGCCAGGGTGAGAAGTTGGAAGGAGTTCTGTAGCAAGCAAGAGAGGGAAACGATGTGGGAGGGGATCTACAGGGTAATCGGCAGAACAAGGATTCAGACAGAAGATCTGCCTATTGCGAGGGCGGGCATCACCACCAGCCCAAAGGAATCGGCGCGCATTATGTCCGAGACTTTCTACCCAGAGGATGACGAAATCGGAGAGAGTGAAGTCCACAAAGAAGTGAGATTCAGGGCGGCCAAAGCAAATGAGGGGGACGAACATGATGTTCGAGACCCCCCATTTGTAGAGGCCGAACTAGCCCACGCAGTGGACTCATTCAACCCGAAGAAGGCACCGGGCAAGGAGGGCTTCACAGCGGACATATGTGCGGCAGCCATTAAAGCAGAACCGAAAGTGGCCCTCGCATTATACAATAAGTGTCTGGCCCTGACCCACTTCCCACGTCCATGGAAGGAAGCCACAGTAATCCTATTAAGAAAACCTGGAAAGGAAGATTATCAGCAGCCCAAGTCGTATAGGCCGATAGGTTTGCTGCCGGTACTGGGTAAAATTTTAGAGAAGATGCTAGTAAGGAGAATAAAATGGTATGTACTTCCTCGGTTAAATCCAAGGCAATATGGGTTTGTGCCACAGCGTAGCACGGAAGACTCCCTCTACGACATGATCCAGCGAATCAGGAGCGGCCTTTCTGAAAGAAAGATCATTGCCCTGATATCGCTGGACATAGAGGGGGCCTTTGACAATGCGTGGTGGCCACAAATCCATTGCCAACTAAAAGACAAAAATTGCCCAGTGAATCTGCGAAGGCTTGTAGCGAGTTATTTGCAAGATAGGTCGGTAACGGTGAAGTATGCAGGGGAAGAGATTAACAAAAAGACGAATAAAGGATGTGTACAGGGGTCCATTGGAGGGCCTCTATTTTGGAATTTAATATTAGATCCCCTGCTAAACGAACTCGCCGACACCGATACTTACGCACAAGCCTTCGCAGATGACATAGTCCTAGTTGTGGAAGGAAAAAGCTCCCAGGAAATAGAAAGCAAAGCAAACACCGCACTCGCCCTGGTCAACAGATGGGGGGCGTCAAACAAATTAAATTTTGCTCCACAAAAATCGAAAACATTGATAATTACGAAAAAGTTGAAGTATGACGCCCCAATACTGACCATGGGCGGGACCATAATAGAAAAAGTGGAAGAAATTAAAATCTTGGGAGTTATAGTAGACAAAGGCTTAACCTTTAATAGTCACATAAGTTATGTATGCAACAAAGCCATTAACATTTATAAAGGGGTGGCAAGAATGGCAAAAACGACATGGGGCCTAAATCCGGAAATAACTAGGACAATCTATTTAGCTGTCATTGAACCCATTATATTGTTTGCGGCTAGCGTGTGGGCGAAAGAAGCCCACAAAATTATGAGTATTAAAAAGTTGAACGTCGTACAGAGGGGATTTGCCCAAAAAGTGGCAAAGAGTTACCGGACAGTATCGCTCAACGCTGCGCTAGTGTTATCGGGGCTTCTTCCGCTGGATCTTCGGGTCCATGAAGCATCACGGCTCTATGAAGCCAAACGTGGAAAGCCCTTGGAAATACTGTGCGACAGAAAGGTGGAAGAAAGGGTCTCCTTCACGGAATCGGACCACCCCGGGAGCAGTAGCGTGATAGGCTTTGAGTGTGTGGAAAATGCGGAGGAGGACGGTAAAACGGCAGAAGGTCTTGTGAAGATATATACAGATGGTAGCAAACTGGAGGGAAAGGTAGGAGCCGCCCTGACCTGTTGGAAAGGGCAGGCGGAAGTCCATTCCCGAAAGTTTAAGCTGGAGCCATACTGTACAGTCTTCCAAGCCGAGCTGTATGCCATCCTCCGAGCCACAGAATGCGTGCTAGGGAAAGAATGGAAGGAGGTCGCCGTGCTCAGCGACTCGAGATCCGCTCTCCAGTCGCTAGCTGATCCAGACTCCTCGCACCCGATCACAAAGGCAATACAGGGTAACCTGGTCCAACTTAGGGAAAACGGCAAAACCGTATCCCTGTATTGGATCAGGGCCCACGTCGGTGTGGTTGGGAACGAGAGAGCGGATGAGCTGGCGAAGGGAGCGGCTCTCGGGTTGAAATGCAAATCGCACTATGACGGATGCCCCATCTCTTTTGTCAAGCGACATTTACGCGCCGAGACAAGAGTAGAATGGGGCAGACGATATAGGAGCGAAAGCACGGCAGCCACAACAAAGGCATTCTTCCCTAGTGCGGAAAATGCCTTTGGAATAGTAAGAAAGATGCAGATTGACAGGATAGCTGCTCAGATACTCACGGGGCATGGAG